TTTAATAGCTTGCAGAATATAAATAGTTAGTAAACGTAGAAAGTTTAAGTTCATGGGGGAGCCCCTGTGTAAAACGTTCGTGTGTGTTTTAATGACTACAGTTGGTTTTTGCTTTTGTGATGGAGTTGCTCCGTTCGGGGAAGGTTGTTCCCTTTCATTTCTTGGTTTTCCCTTAGCATAATTTTGTTTTTTGTTTCTTTCTTTCTCGTACCTGCCCGTTTGTCCCATAGGCTGCAACCTTGTGAGCCCGGGACGTGCCCCGCGAGGCTCGGCTGCTCGTAACCATAGGAAAAGGCAGGGTGCGATCTGTCGGAATATTTTAAAGCAAAGCTACGTAAGGCAAATCAAAAGAACGAACCGCCCTTCTGTTCGGGTAAGAAGGAGTTTTATCCATATGAAAAAGAGTATTCAAAGTAAAAACAAAACCGAGGGGTAGTGGAGCCCCCTAGTGGAGCCCCCGAGCGCCCTGAGCCGAAAAGTGTTCAGGTTGGGGTGCTCTTATAGGAGCGTTCGCTAAGTAAACAATGGTAAAACTGAAACTTAGGGAAAGGAAAAAAACAACATAGCTGTTCCAAGCGTTTGGAGAGAACGTCGTTGTCATTGTGTTTCAGTCAGTGGGCGTCCGGTCGGATCAATTCAGTCTTCAGTCGTCTGGATCCTCGCCCGCTGTGCCCCTTCTTCTGCTGCTGCTTCTTCGCCTTTTTCTCTCCTTGGCCTGCCAGACTACCTTAGTAGGCTTTTGAGGAGCTGGTAGTCCTTGTAGAGATGGTTGATGGGATAGTTGTGGTTGGTGCACAGGCTCTCCATGAGCTCGTGAAAGTGTCCCGATCGGTCCTGCTGGGGCTGCGTACCCAGCTATTCGGCCGCGGCGACCGAAGCGGAGTTGGCAGGTCTGCGGCGATCCTTTTTGTTCTTTTTTCCCCTCTGCGTGAAGGGGCCTTCGTCTTGATCCTAGCGTTTGGCCATACCTTTGTCGTGGCCTCCGTTGAAGCGCGGTAAGAACGGCGCTTGCTGGGGGAGTTGGGCAAAGGTCGGTGGTCCCGGGCCGTCAGTGCTGGGACTCCGGTTGCCGCTGCATGTGCCTCGGTTTGGTCCGAGCCGCGCGTAGATAGGCGGTTGGTGCGGAGCGGTCGTCAGGTCAAGATGAGGTGCCGTTGCGGCCTCATGTGCCGCGCTCAGCGGTTGTTGCGGTGACAGGGTGTAGTGCCCCATCTGCTGCGTCCCTGTTCCCTGGACGGGGAGCGAGGTCGCGGGTCAGCGTCGCGATACGGAGCACTCCGCTTGCTGAACGGCGACGGTCTCCACCAGTGCCCGGAGGTTCCGGTGGATCGTCCGTTTGTGAGGGTCATTCGGCTCGGACAGGCCACGCAGGAGCATTGCCGCGGCGGCAATGTTCTGACTGGCCCGAGCGAACTACGGGGGATCAGTCCCCCTATCCGGGGTGTTGCGCTGGACCCGACGGGCATGACCCCGAGCGCCGTTCGCCGGTCCATGCGCACGGGGCGCAGTGTAGCGCGCCGAGCGTGCTGGCGTAGTCGGTGGCTGATACGGCCACTGTCGTCGTAGTTCCTGCCCGTGCTCACGCGTGAGCTCGGGGGTCTCCGTATGAGGGCCCGGAGGGGCGTGAGTCCATGAGCACTTCGTTGCCCCTGGCGGCTGTTCTGGAGTGTCCGTCATAGCGCACTCCCGGGACGGACGGTGGCTGGTGCCACGTCGCCGATGCTAGAGCCATCACTCCCGACGTCGTCGTCCATGATGTCGAGGAAACCGGTGGGAGCGTAGCTCGCCATCCCCATGAACTCAGATGTGAGAGGGGGTGGCGCCATGATTTTTCGGAGCCCCTAGGCGTACGCGTTCACGGGAGACGCGAGGCCGTAGGGGAACCAGTTGTACGGTGGCCGCGACGGGGACAACGGCAGCCCTCCGGGTGTTTGGAGGAGGATAGAATGTAGTAAGTAAAGAACGGCATGTATATTACTCACAGTGGGGTTTGAGCAGAGAGTTTGCTCAGAATGAAGCGCAGATGCCGCGTCGTAGAGGTCGCGCGTCCCGGAGTCGATGGAGAACGTCTCTCCGATGGGTGCCGGGTCGCGAGTCTCCTCGCGGAGGTGGAGTACGCCGAGCCGGTCGGCGATGAAGTCCAAGCTTCCAAAGAGGAAGGCCTGGGACGGCTCGAGAACCGGAGGAACCCACATCCCGACGGGTGAGAGTGCGGGAAAGTCCAGCGAGCCGAAGCGAGTTGTATCGCCCGAGCCCACCACGGCGGGGGTGGCGGAAAAATGGGCCATCCGATGACCAAAAAGTGTTGAACGTACAGCGTCCTCCCCACGGACGGCGCCAACTGTCGGTACAAAAAGTGACCAACTAGTGAATATTTGTAGTTTTGTTGTATGTTGTGATCGGAGGTGGCCTAGCACTCAATGACACAGGATATATACTGGTTCCAGCAACGTGCCCTACGTCCAGTGTGGGTCAGTCGATGACTTTATTCCTGAGCCCAGGTGCTCAAAGTCTATAGTGGGGTTACAAATGAGAAGGAGAAAGGAGGGGTGTACGAGAGGCCCGGTCGGGTCCGACCGGAAGGGCCAAGGGTGACCGAAACTCCGCTATGAGCTAGGTGTTCAAGCGTGTGCTTGAGGGGTTTGTGAGCTATCGATCTAGTGAGTCTGAACTTGAAGAAGTGGACCTCCTTCGTTGGAGGGAGCGCATCCCCTTTTATAGATAAAGGAGATGGCTTTTACAGGTGAGAGGGAGAGAGTACGAATGTTACTAAGCCTTGTTGCCCACGCTGACGAGGGTAGCGATGATGGTAGGCGCTCACAATACTGTTGACGTCACTGTAGAATGTCAGGTGAGGAGGTTGTGTTGGCTTCTTCAGGAAGGGTGGATGTTGGTACCTGCAAAATACTGTTGGTTTGTGAGGAGCCCTACCACGTGTACCAGGTATGGTGAATCCTAGCGCCCAAAGTACCATCGATGCCCAGAGGCATGTGAGGGCTTTTTGCCGTACGGGAGTCCAACGGCGCCTACAATACTATAGATACAAATGTCGGCACCTACAATACTGTTTGTGTCAGGGCGGTTGTGGAGCACTGTTCCCATAGGCGTACAGGGTATGGTCCCGGTATCGTGGTTTTGACTTTGTGCGCTGCCTTCTCCGTTCGCCCTTGGTCCCTTCCGAGCGGTCGTCCCCGGTCGGATGGCCCCAGTCGGAGAAGAGCGGCAAGCAGACTTCCTACGGGCCCCTGGTCGGAAAGCGCGGGGTCGGAGTAGGAAGCAGTGTTTTGGGCTAGGCCTTCCGATCGGAGGGACCGCCCGGAGGCGGCTGGTGTCCGAAGCGAGTGCTCTGGTCGGAGAGGTGGGCCTTCCGATCGGAGAGGCCGTCCGGAGGCGGCTTGTGTCCGAAACGAGTGCTCCGGTCGGAGAGGTGGTTGACGAGCGGGCGTTAGTCCTTTCGAGTACACCTTTCGGTCGGTGACCAGATTGTCCTTTCGGCCCGTTGTGTTTTAGACTCTTGGGCCGGCCCATGAACTTCATGCTGCTTTCGTGGGCCGAGCCCTGACGTGGAAGCCGGTCCCCGAAGGACCTCGGGTTTATGAACTCGACACATAACGTTTGCTATACATCTAGATATACATTATTTCTACGTGTATCTATATCTATATATTTACAAAAGCCCTAACGCCATTTAAAAAAAGCCATAACGACTTACCATTTGAACGAAGGAAGTAGATGGGAAGAGGAAGAGACAGGGGAGTGAGAATAAAAATATTGTCCAAATTGGTCTCTTGCTAGGCATTGCTCGAAGATTTTTGGATGAGGGGATTAATTTTAAAACCAAAACAATATTATCATATGGATGATAAGGGCAAGTACATTGCTACACATCAGCGATTTTATACTTTGTCTCATGCAGTACCATTTAGGATTTTTTGGCCCCGTTCGGCTTGCTGAAACTTGGCTGAAAGTGGCTGAAAAACACTGTTCTGGCTGAAATGCTGTGAAAGAAAAACACTGTTCCGGCTGAAAAAAAGAAACCGAACAAGCCGGATATAAGGTAAGCCGGACGGAAAAAGGTACGAAGGGCAGAGAGAGGGGGGGAGAGAAAGAGGTTGTTGTTTCACGAAACAACTATCTCATAGCTAAAATTTAGGACTATCAGACAACTATCATTCTATTGTATGAGTCGTGTTGTCATGTAACCCACAATTTTATTTTTAATTTTTATTTTATACATAAATTAAAGGATTATATTGTGAGTTACTATTAGATAACTTAAAGACAATCATTATATACGTTGTCTATTAAGTCATCTTATAAAATACATGACACCGTGATACTATCCATGAGACAACGTCAATGTACTTGCTAAAGGAAACTCGAAAAGTGACGATGAAAAAAAAAAGAGCAGCGTGCGATAGGTAAAAGGGGAAATAACCGACTTGATGGTCTCGTTGTCGTTGGAACATAAACAAGCCAAGGATCGTGAAAATACAATTTGGTAAATCAGGCGTCGACAACAAAGAGTAGCGCCATGTCAGCCTCGAGTCCCTCAATCTAGCCAACTTTGAAGATTAATCTTGATGAATGTCCGTTCATAAGCCAATTTTCATTAAGGACACCTTGATGAACTCTTCGTAGACCTTGTACCACTACTCGTGCCTAACCGTACTCTACCGCTTCATACGAGTCTCGTACTCCATTCCAATTTCTGCTTAGCTGGCTGCTCAATACTAGGAGTACGATCCACCACATGGGCCATGGCCCTCTTTGTCCTGGGCACTTTGCCAAACCCACGAGGCCAGGCCCCAAGAGAAAAAAGAGGTGCCGCACCAATCGGCGGGCCCCCGGCCTCCGGCTCGGCTTCCAAACGGCCGTGGCCTCGGACCACTCCGCTCCCTCCCGAGCTCCGTCCGATCCGCCCACCCGTCGTGCCGGCAGCGCGCGCAGGACTGCAGGAGGACCGGCCGGCCGGCCCACCCGCCCGCCAGCCTGCCGCCATGCCGGGCTCGCCCAAGATCTTCTTCGCCTCCTCCGCCTCGCGCCGCGGCGGGGCGCTGCTCCGGCTGCTCTCCACGCCGGCCTTCTCCGCGGCCTGCCTCCTCTTCGGCCTCGCCGGCTTCCTCGCCGCCGCGCTCACGCTCTCGCGCTCCCCGTCCGTCGCTCACAGCCGCTGCCCCGACTCCTCGCGCCCGCTCTCCGTCTCCGTCGCGTGGGACCGCCGCCCGGGGGATGGCTCCGCCGCGGGCTCCGCGGAGCTCCCGGCCTCGCTCGCCACCGGATCGCGCGGCCGCCACAAGGTCATGGCCTTCGTCGGGATCTTCACCGGGTTCGGCTCCATCGGCCGCCGCCGCGCGCTGCGCCGGACGTGGCTCCCCGCGGATCGCCAGGGTCTACTTCGGTCAGTCGCTGGTATCACGGCTTGCTAGTTCGTTTTCGCTTCTGCCGGTCGAGATCTAGCTGGACTTTTAGAGTTCGGACTGTTGATGTATTTTGTTTCTGCTAGCCTTATTTGGTAGTTTCCATTTTGGATATTTGGTAGCCTTATTTGCTGCCCTTAGTTTATAGTAAATTAAAGAGCGTACTGCATGCAGAGAGCTCCCGCTCTGTGCGGGGGTCTGGGAAGGTGTCAGTGGCGAGCCTTACCTCGCCATGTCTGTCTGAGGAGACCATGACTTGAACCCGGGACCTTCCGGTCACAGGCGGTAAGACTCTACCGCTTGCACCAGGCCTTAGTAATATATAATATGGTGAGACTGGTTGCAAACTGATTATAGGAGAGTTGTTTGGTAGTTTCCATTTTCAATATTTCTTATATCTAGACGTAACTGTGATCCACTAAATATTCTCTTACTGCCAACTAGTTCTCAGATCACATCACCAAAATTACTGATGATCTACCTGTAAATGAATTACTGTATTGGTCAATGTGGATAAAACATTTGGCAATTTAGACATCACTATATGGTATCATCTGCTCCTTAACTGCATTTCTGAAATATCTGCTTATTCAATGATGTTCTTTGTTTGTGATGGAATCTGATGATTTTGCTAAAATATGCATTGTTTTAGTGGTACTTCCAAACAGCGGCCACTTACACTATAGGTGCCACTCTCCCAACTTGCCCTTAATTACCGCAATGCGTGCGTAGTCTATTTCTTAGCTATGATTAGGCACCAGGCAGGCAGGCACTGCATCAACGCCCCCCTAGTGCTTAGTGCTCTCCAGATATGGACTATGCTGTCCTTCCACATGAACTGGTTCACCCTTTGTAGTAGTTGTACTTGTTCTCACTTCCATTGGCAATTCATTAGTTTGAATCTTGAGGTATAGTTGTTATGTCTGATCTTTCGAGCGTGTAATGATTTCAGTCATTCAGTGACAAATCTCACCTACCTGTGATAAATCAGCACCACACCGGCTGTAAGATAAAAGCAACGTGGATTTTCTCTAATTTCACTTTGTTTTCCAATTGTTCTGATCATGATGCTTGGTGATTAGTACTGTCTTTGGTTTTATAGTATTGTTTTCTGTCTGCTGGTGATGCTTTCTATATCCCTTACAATGGTTCTACTTATTCTCTGCATTGCAGATTGGAGGAAGCTACTGGTCTGGCATTCCGGTTCGTGATTGGGAAAAGCAATTCAAAGAACAAGATGGCTGCTCTTAATAGAGAAGTTGAAGAATATGATGATTTTGTGCTTTTAGATCTCGAGGAGGAGTATAGCAGGCTCCCATACAAAACGTAAGGAATAGAGGTACTTACAGTTACATATCATTATGCTCTCTATTCAGGATGCTGATTTCGTCTTATGTTTTAGGTTAGCTTTCTTTAAGGCTGCCTATGCATTGTATGATTCTGATTTCTATGTTAAAGCGGATGATGACATTTACTTGAGACCAGGTGAGTAACAACAGCCCAAGATCTCCTTTTAGTGTCTGAGTAATAGGCATCCTTCCTTTTGACTCTTTGTGCAGATAGACTTTCCTTGCTTTTGGCTAAAGAGCGGTCACATCCACAAACATACATTGGATGCATGAAGAAGGGGCCTGTTTTTACTGATCCCAAGTTGAAATGGTTAGTTTTGTCATTTGGTGTTGTTTGATTTAACAAACTACTTACTGTTTTTATTGAAAAGTTAAAATGGTTGTCTATTTGAGAAAAATAAATGCTTACTGTATCATGCTAGCTATGTGGAAAGTAGCCTTGAAGTGATAATTGACCCAGATGTGTAGATATATCTTTCTTTCTTTCAATACAACCTAAGGGATGCTAGAAATAGTTTTGCTTTCACTCGTTACTTTTTTGACATCTGAAAATGTTCATTTCATTTCTTGTATTAATCTATCTACCTTTACTTCAAGAAGTTCTATGATTCAAGAGGGTGGATTTTGCCATCCAAAGTAGTGCTATGATATGTTTGTACGCACTGGCAAGATATAGCTTTTCCAAGTATTCTAAAGACCGAAACTAACATTTCCATCTTAGTCTCGTTTCTGTGGTTAAGGAACAAAAATGTCTCTTTTTTTTTTCTCAAACTGACATTAAGAACAGAATAAAATACATGGGAGATAGGCAAAATGCCCATTCCCAGGCACCATGGTTATTAAGGCGTCGCTTAAGCTTAAGTGTAGGAGCGGTCTAGGAGTGACACCATGCCCCATGACTCGCCTTACATATGTATGTCGTCTGCCGTATGGGTGTGGCGTCCCATAATCATCGCTTTGGCGTGCGAATCATGGGAAATCACTTGTGGCGGGAGCCATATGAGGTGTCGTTGGCAGGGGCGGGAGAAGAAAAGGGGTGTGTGTGTGTGGGTGGGGGGGGAGGGACAGCAGGCGACTCACGGCAGGAGACAAACAGATAGGGAGCGGGGGACAAATAAAGTGCGAGACAGAGAGAAAAGTGTGCTGGAGTGCAGGATACCGCTCAGGAGTTGTTGTCATCCTCCCTTGACCCAGGCCGCCTCTGGTTGATCCAGCAGCAGGGGATGCTGCCTCGCGCTGCAGTAGCAGGGGCTGTCGCAGTGTTGCCTCTGGTCCACACACCAGCCCAAAGGGACTGTTGCCTCCAGCCCACGCTCCAGCGGTGGTGGCTGCCTCCCTCCAGCAGTGACGAGCAGATGACTGCTGTCTTTTTTGCGAATTTAGTCTAGGCAGTTAGATTTGTGGGCCTGGTTGCATTTTTCCCTTTTCCCTTTTTGTCGTTTTCCTTTTTGATGTGCTGTTCTCCCCCACAATCCCTTGGCTGGCATACTAGTATGGTGTCGGCACGCCTTATGCCTTAGTGCTTAAGTCTCCTAGCGGTAACCAGTCACCTTGTCTCGCTTTACTCCCTTAAAAAATTTGCCCGCACGCCCCACACACACACACACGCCTTATGCCTTAGTGCTTAAGTCTCCTAGCGGTAACCAGTCACCTTGTCTCGCTTTACTCCCTTAAAAATTTGCCTGTTGCACGCCCCAGCACAAGACACTCACACAGTCAAAACCAGATCAGATACAGACGCACCATAAAACACGAAAAAAATGATCACATGGGCCAGATGGATGAACGGCCAAATATGATTTGATTGAAGGTAGACAAAGTGGCCAAACTTGCTGGAACCAACATTATTTTGCAGTAAATGTGTAATAGGTACCTAAACTTGCGTATTGTCATTCTTGCAAGTTGCGAACTTTTTATGGGCATGTCTCTAAATTTCCATAGTTGTATTCTTGGATCTTAATCTATAATTTGATTGGTTATGTCTCTGGATATCTAACCTTGCAACTTGAGGTTACATGATTTTCAACATTACTAATTGCTGTGGTCTCTGGTGCAAGAAGAAAGCAACCAGGAGGTCTTATACTTGGATGGGGGTTGTACTCATCCTGGGAGTCAAGTAAATTAGGAAAAAGGATTTGGTAAGAAGTTAGGTAATTAGGAAAGTTTGGTTAAATTAGAAAAGTGAAATCCAAGGGGAGCTAAGTATTTTATAGTAGGAGGGGTTGGTATGCTTACAAATCCTTTATGTCTTCGCCATATGAGAAACATACTTCGTCTGCCCTGATTGCTCTTCCTGAGCATCTTGAAGTGTTAGTGGCTGCAATGTAAAGTATTATCCGCATGGCTGATGTTATGGTAGTATGGTCAACAAATATGAGAGAACTATTTGGGTAACATGCACTCTATGAGACAAATAAAATCTGCATGACTTAGGATTTAAATGAATGATAACAAACGCACATGCAACTGAATGTGTTTAGTTGTGCCTGAGGGCACGACAGTTGCATTGTATTTGCAAATAAAGCCCCCTGGGTGGCATCAATTTGAATTGGTATGTTAATCTGCAGCTTGAGGCTGATAGTGGTAACTTATATATCCAGGGATGAAACTAGCAAATTTTGTGGGCCTTGAGTGCAATTTGCTCAAGCTGTACACATGGCAAAACTATTAGGTGTAACATTCATCAGTTAGACAATATTTGCTTATGTTGATTGATTCTACTTTTTTGAGAGATGCAGGTATGAGCCCCAATCCTTCTTACTTGGATCGGAATACTTCCTTCATGCATATGGGCCAATTTATGCTTTATCAGCTGATGTGGTGTCTAGCTTGGTTGCATTGAGAAACAACAGGTGAGTTGCAGTGAATGTTCTGCACATCTTATCATGAAACACAAACTTACCTTGTTTTGCAATTATTTTCTACATACACATGTTTCTTAATTGTACTAAGCAAATATGGTTGTTTGTCCTATTTTCTGGGAAACTGTACTGGCTGGTATAACTGGGATACCTGTATTAATGATTGCCACAGAAAATGTCTTTTACTTGCCAAATGTACTTGAAACATCTTTGGTTATATTGTCTCTTTGTGAAATTGAGAAACAAACCGCGGTGAGAAAACATCGCTCACGCAAGATTGAATATTTTGATCTCCTAATGCTGAAAGACTGCAGCATAACATTCTGTTACTTCAAATTTATTTGAGTGATTTTAACTGAACCTGTACCTGGTGATCAGTATGTCATGTGGTCATGCTTCTTTCATCTATAATGTATAAATCTGTGTTGTAGCATTAAGCTATACTCTCTGTTTCATATAATCCTATCTCTGGTGGAGGTGTACTATTTCAACAAACAAGTATCATTGGTTGCTAATGCTATATTGAAGTCACAAACCCTGGAGCATGGGGTAGAACTGCTACAGGAATAGCAAGGAAACTGACATTTAGATCAAGAAACACCAGAAGATATTGTGAGATTCAGTTTCTCACATTGTAGCATTATTACATCACTGTCAAACCTCTGACTGAGTAATTTTATTTGCTGTTAACTATATTCCTGCATATGTTTTCTCCAGTTTCCGAATGTTCAGCAACGAGGATGTTACAATTGGATCGTGGATGCTTGCTATGAACGTTAACCATGAGAACACGCATGCCCTTTGTGAACCTGACTGCACGGAGTCTTCAATTGCTGTTTGGGACATTCCAAAATGTTCAGGTCTTTTCCTTTCTTATTTCTTAGATAGATTGACATTTATACATTTTCTTGCTCCCTTGTAATGACTTGGCTAACTGCATATTTTCACATTGTACATTGGAATCTTTTATCAAATGTACATATGAAGACCAAAATTAGTAAGCATTAGTTAAACTAACCTGTAAATAGGTTCGACAGATACTAGTGTTAGTTCATAAACGATAAATAATTTTGAGGGATGCTTTTATAAGACTAGAGAATTATAGAAGCTGATCTTCATACCCTTTCTTATTAGACCTTTATCAGTTCAAAATGTCTATAGTTTAATCATTAAAGACCAAGCTGGGGCCTTGCTAACGTCCAAATCTGTGACACAGGGCTATGCCACCCAGAGGTAAAAATGCTAGAGCTTCATCAAAGAAAAGAGTGCCCAGGTGGTCCAACTGTGGCAGCTGAGGTGTCTGAGTCTGAGGATTGATGTTTTCTTGGTTGGAGCACAAACTACGGATCTGATAGTTGACCTCTGCCCTCACTCAGTAGATGTGTTTGGAGTATTCATTTGATTCATCAGGTGCAATCATTGTAGGAGCACTGCTCAAGGAACCTATACTGGCTGGCGTCATAACCTAGTACTGTAGCAAAGGCATTCTCATTCAGCATTCTTGTCACAGCAGCCTTCATTGCTTCTTTTTGCAATGGAACCGTGATCGATGTTTGGAACATTCATCCTGTATCGTAGCAAAAAGGAATTTTGTTGTATAGAAAGTAGAAGGAAAGAATGCATTGGCAATTGATAGCCGGATAGACCATACATACACCTTCTGATGCTGTGACTGACTGAAATTTGGGATATTCCCTGAGATTCTCCTTTTGGAGTAAACGCTGAGTCGTCTACTTCCTCTGATTCATAACTAGCGAGAAACGTTGTGCGTTTCTCTCCAGCTGTGTGGCATGGATCTGAGATTGGATAAACATTTAAATGCGAAGCCAAAGTGATTGGTCACTCTAGCTGTTCCTGATGTGAAGTCGAATAGTCAGGGCACTGAAAGGTTTGTTGTGCAGCTGTGCTCGGGTAGCGGCACATGGATGAATCATGAAACGAAACAGATACTTGGAGCGAGGTGTTGCAGTTTCCTTTTGGTGGCATTCTCATTCTGATGCGTTCGTGATGGTGCCGGCGTTGGAGCCTTGCGCAAAGACCCCTGTCACGGCCTTCACGGGCCCTGACGGGTGACATGGATAGGCTGACTGCCTGAGACAGGATTTACCGTCGGAGAGTGACTGCTGCAAAAGTTCTCTCAAAAGCCCCGACCAAGGGCACAGGTATTAAAGCCGGCTGAAACTGTTTTGTTGTGAGAGAAAAATACTGTAGATTCTAGCCAATAAGCCGGCTGATAAGAGCGAACATGCCTTCGTGATTTGTAAACGAAGAGCAGTATACATAATATTTCAACAGGGAGGAACAAGGAACGCATGCATGCAGTTGCCGAGGCACTTTTTCCCCCGGCAACGTAAACACAGATATTAATAATAACAACAATAAATAAAAAATAATAATTAATCGGTCCCCCTCGCTCTGCTGCCCCTGCCTGAGGATCGGGGCTTAGCTTAGCTGTGGAGGATGGCCGGGCGGCAGTAGGGCCCGTTGAGCCAGCCGTCGGTGATCTGCTTGTAGGCGGCCTCGGTGAGGTGGATGCCGTCCCAGCTGAGGTGCGCCGCCGGGTTGGAGCACGCGGAGGCGCCCGACATGCCGCACCGCGCGCTGTTCTGGTAGTTGTACTTGCCGCCGCCCGACCCGCAGCACGTCTGGAACACCGTGCTGAACCCTGCAAGCAGTGCAGCAAGAGGAGGGCAAAGAGAAAACCGAGTGAGACGCAGACGGAGACCACACGGGCAGCAGCCCCGCGTCTTGTTTTCTTGCTCCTGTTCCCCGCATCGCCAGCGTGGGCGCGTAGCGTACGAACTACCAAGGCTCGTCGGCGCTCCGGCGGGCGTGGGCGTTCGCGCAACGTGCAGGAGCAGTGTGCCCGGCCCCGGCCGCCGTTCAATTCGCATGTGTTGGGTGGGGGCAACATGGCCGGTCTCGGTCTCGGCAAGTTCGGGAACATGCGCGCACAGGCGGCTTAGGTTCTCGTCTCACGACCGCGACGCCGAGCCGGTGCGTCCGCGCAGGCAGCCGTCACGAGCGCGGCCCTGGCCATTTTTCTATTCGCCGCCGCACGACACGCCCACGCTTCCGCAGCGCACGAGCAAGAATGAGCAACGGGCATGTCGTCCGTCTCGGCGCTGCAGTGCAGGCCCGCCTGAACCATGTCGTGCACATGGATAGACATGCATGCTGCGGGCGCGCCCCGCGGCCTGCGGCTGGTGCTGTTTTACACACGTGACGGGATTCCTATCCTATTCCTATTGCTACTCGAACGGGTGGCCGCGCGGGGGCCTCTCACGCGCTTGCACGCCAAAACGCGTAGGTGAGGTGACTGACTGCCAGGACGGCGCATTGAAGAGGCGCTCTGCGACGGACGGGGCCACGGGGGAGCCGCCGGAAGCGCCAAGCGCGCTGTTTGAAAGCTGGCCTGCGCCGGGCAGTACCCGCCAAGCCGGCAGTCGTCACGGATGCTCGACGTACGTTTACTGCTAGCGTGTTTCGTCACCACTTGACTCCCGTAGTCCCGTCCCGTCCCCTCCCCTATCCGACCACATGTGCGTGCGTCGGGCGGTCGGCGGGGCGGTCACGAGGTCGGGGCCGACGAGGACACCGACGACGAGTACGAGGAGGAGGGAGCATGACAGGAGTATGTATATACGTACCGTAGCTGCCGGGGTTCTTGACCATGTCGTAGACGGCGGAGTAGAAGTCGGCGTACATGATGCGCGCCGACTTGTACTTGGCCTGGAGGCTGGAGATCTGGCTCTGCAGCTGGTTGTTGTGGTTCGTGGACAGGTCGTTGAACTTCTTGAGGCAGCCGAGGCTGTCGTAGTCGCCGCTGTTGGAGGTGCCGTAGATGGTGAGGTAGATGGGGAAGCAGCCGATGGGGAGCACGCCCGGCACCACGATGTCCGTGGCGCCCATCGCGATCAGCTTCTCCACGCCGTTGGCGATGGTGCTCACGATCTGCGGCGTGTACGTGCTGGCCTGGTCCGCGTTGTAGTTGCCGAACAGCATCGCGTTGTAGTCGTTGCCGCCGAACTCGCCGAACACGAACAGGGAGTTGCCCAGGTAGCTCTTGCAGTCTGCGCTCGATCCACGACAGTGATGGCCAATTGATTGATCGTCAGAGACAGACCCAGGGAAGGGAGCAGAGAAATGACAGATCGACAGGCTTTATTTCATTCATTCAGGAGTTAAAGTCGTTCATGGCCTGGCACGCATGGGCTGCGCGTACTCACCGTTCCCGCAGACGGCGGAGGAGACCTGCTGGAACCACTGCAGCTGGAAGCTGATGGGCCCGTTGTTCCAGATCTTGTCGGAGAGCCCGAGGGAGCTGAAGAAGGGCGCGTCCATGGCCGTGGCGCCGGTGATGGCCATGTTGGCGCCCTTTTTGAAGTCGGCCGTCGTCGACTTGGACGGCGGCAGGAACGGCAGCCCGAACTTGGAGCCTGCAGCGTGGGAGCGGACCCACCCACCGTACATCAGCATCCACAGCCCGCAGACAGGCCCACAGCACAGTGGAGCCAGGCGAGAGAAAGAGATCGATCGAGCCAGAGGGAAATTAATTAGCGAGGGGGCAGCCGAGCAGGAGTGGCGTACTGAGGAAGTCCGGGATGACGCGGCCGTCGCAGCAGCGGCACGTCGGCGTGCCGAAGTAGGTCTCGCCGTAGGGCGGCTGCGTGAAGGTGATCGACGACGGCCTCCCGTTGGTGCAGAGGTTCCCGGTGTCGGTGATGGAGTCGCCGAAGTTGAAGATGGCATTGTAGTTCTGCGCCGCCGCGGCGAGCGCCAGCGACGACCACACCAGCGCCGCCATCCGCCGGCCGCTCCTCATCTCACCTCACCCTACGGCGCTACGCTACGCAATGGGAAGACCGGCAGAGCAGAGCAGTCGAGCAGAGCGCTTGAACGAGACGGTTGGCCTGGGGCAGCTTTTTATAGCGTCGCCCTCGTGACGCCTGCGCGGCGCGGCGCGGCGCCTTTCGCCAACAAAACTTTTGCGTCTCGCCCGTCTGCCTGGCGCAGATGCAGGGGTATCTGCATGTACCAGCGCCCTCACCTGGCGCAGACTGCAGAGCCGGGTCCCACGGCACAGGACTCGGTCACTCACCCGATCGGCATCGGACGGTCCAGATCACGCGCCGGACGTGATCCGCCCGTTACAACACCATCTCCACCGTCCCCGCGAGCGCTCTGTCAACCTGGGCTAATCACATGTCATCATTTGATTTAATAATTGAATAATAGTATAAGCGAACGAGCGCCACCGACCCGGCGCCCGACACGGGTCCGTTCCGGTGGTTACTTAGCCCCGGCACGCGCTCCGGCCTCCGGCGAGGATGAGCAGCACATTTCGTGCGCTGTGGCTGCCCTTTTCCTCCACCGCTTTGCGATCCACCGGCGATTTTCCATGTGATTTTTTCGCGGGGAGCTTTCTAAAGCGCCTTTCGGGTGGGCAATGATGAGGAGGGCCAATCAGGCGCGAGTCCCAGGCGAATGATGGCGAGACACGGGCGTTTTCCAGCCGGGTAATCGAGGATTAACCGGTGCGTGGCTGCGCCCCAGTCCCGTGCCCGGGTGGCTTTGCTCTGCTCCCCCCCTCTTCTTTTATTCTCTGAAAACTTGGCCGGCCGCGCGCGACTTTGGGTTGGTAGTAGGTTACTTTCAGTCTCCAGTCTCTCAGGGCAGGATAGGGGTCTAGAATTGGAGGCAGACGTGAGTGACCGGCACTCGTCGTCTCCTTCATTGGCCCTCACTTTTCACCACCTCGCCTTGTGACTTTCTTTGCGCCTGTAAAACTACTATGGGTGTAGTGGTGTCGCGTACATGAGCAAGTTGCGTCTGCTTATGGTACTAGATGTCTGCGACCGATGCTTGCTGCTGTTCTTTATCTATTCCCTTGCGTGATTCCGCGCCGGTTCCACGAAACTGACACGAGATGTTGTGTTCGTTTCTGAAAATGGAGAGCGTGTGTGTGCGCTCTTCCACCTGCGCCGTTTTTCTGCCTCCGGAGACCCAGTGGGTAGACACGAACGTACGGTAGACTACAAAGGTATTTCAGCGTGTTCGGCTGATCTGCTCTCAGCTTGTTTCAGTTTATTTTCTCTCACGAAACACTATTGAATCTTCTGAAATCCACTCGCACTGGATCAGCTTGTTTCTATCCGGTTCTATCTATCTATCTATCTTTAGTTTCTTTCTTTTCCTTTTCATTCATTCATTCGTTGTGCTTATCCAAACTAGCCAATGGAATGGAGCCATGACGGAGGCAAGACACTTGCGGCAGATGAACAATTGGCGGAAAATGCCAGAGAGAGCTAGCAAAGTGCTACAGTGCTGTGATGCTGTACTCAGCCAATCCAGTCCCGTCCTGTCGTTCTCTCTATACCGCACGGCACGGCCATGTCCAGCCATGCATAGCATTAAATTTCCGATCAAATGAATGGTCGCTAAGTGCTAAGCCTTTGTTAAATGCTTGCAAGTGTTTCCAAATCAAAACAGAGCAGCAACACACTATGGATGTATGTTAGGTTCGTTTGGCTGATAAACCATGGTTGAAAATACTGTTGGCTGATTTATTGTGAGAGAAAAATATTATTCGTTGGCTGAAAAGGTACGGCTTATAAGCCAAACGAACAGGACGGTATATGCAGAGGTGGACGTATAGGTACTGGACCTGCCTTAAACTCGAGTACTATTGTGTCGTGCCAGTGGGTGCCGACACTGCATCAGCACACAACAACTTAACCGATGGAATGATGATGACGGAGGAGTAGAGGGATAGGGGGGCCCTGCTGGACGGCCAAGATCACAACCATTAAACTCAAACCTGCCAATGTGTCTCTGCTTTGATTCAAGCATGTATAGGAATCATCTGCAACACAGCAAGGGTGCACTAGCATATGCTGCATGCTTTGTGTCTGTGCTCCCAAAGCTGAGAAAGCGATGGACACAACAGGCCCAACCCAGACCCACTTGATACAGGCAAGAGGGCATGGCTAGCAGCACCACAATATATACTAGGGCCTATTTATTTGCAACACAGTGATTACACTTTAACAAGGTGATACTAAACAGAAGCCATATGCATTAGGCTTTCTGTCTCAGTCGATTAAAGAGAAGTCCCCCGTGCAACTTCGCCACTATCTACCACTACCAGCACACCTACATCCGTAACGAACTCGCACTGTGCACTGTGCAGTGTGTGTTAGCTCCAGCTGGAATGGACGCAGACAAATAACTAACTTTTGCTTGGCCATGCATGTTATCCGGTGCCAAATCGCTGCCCAAAGTGCTTGGCCCATTGAAGGAGATCATCAAGTGCTTAGTTAGCATATATTTCCGCGAAAACGAACCTATCCTAGCATAGTGGCATATCCTAGCCTAGCTAGTAGTTTCCACTACTGCCTTCATCGATCACATCAATCATTGCACTGTGATCGATCCACTAATCCTAACGCCACCATCATCGTCTTCCCTCGTAGTAAACTCCGTGGAAAGACGCTCGACTTTGGCCGGCCGGACGAAAAGGCCATCCTCGGGCCGGTTATTAGCCGATGGAGACGATGACAGCGGCACTGCGGCAACAACGGGACGAGAGAGACGGCCAGCGCACCCAAGTCATCACAAGTCGCAAGCCATCTAGCTGTGTGAGACGGCGACACGCACCACCCAAGCCCGCGTGGCGGCATCGCCACACCACACGTCCACTCCACACCCTGTTCCTGTCACCCAGCAGCAGCGTCCACCACCACTCTCGCTCGCGCTCGCGCTCTGACGAGTCACGACGGATCAAGCTAGCTAGCGTCCGATCCGCCGCCGGCGGCGGCAGCCAGTGGCACACGGCTGGGCTAGCTGGGCATGCATCTGGTCTGGCTAGACATAGCAGCAGCCAGATCAGCAGGCGGCGGCAGCGCAAGCGGCACCGCTGCGCACGCTCCCGTTCGGCCCAGCGTTGCTTTCGAACGCGACGCCGACGCCGACGACGCCACCGCACCCAGCCCGCGCCGCGCCGATCATTATTCTCTCCCGCGCGCGCCCGCGGCCAGCCTATTGGGAATATCCACAAGGCAAGGCGGGCGATCGACGCGGACTGGCACTGGCACACTAGCTAGCTCGCCGCCTCGATGGCCCGGCGCGCGCGCGCATGATTGGGGTGGCGACGGGAGAGCGCCCGGCTCGGATCAGCTACCTGGTGGAATGCATTATGCTTATGCATGGGATGCCACTACGTCGTTACGAGTCCCTCCAGGGCCAGCAACGGCCTAACCACCGCCAGACGACGACGTACGTGGCTGATTGATCATGATCATGATCAGAGAGGGGGTTGTTTGGTGCACGTCGCTGGTGTTGTTAAATACTCCTAGCTCCTACTCGCATGCTGCTGTGTTGTGTGCGCGCCTGGCCGCTGCCGCCTCGCGGTCGGCCTATATCTCGATGGCCGTCTTAGCTTGCGTATCATTCGAGTGGTGGTTGGCCTGTGCTGTCAAGTCTTGCGTGCATGCATCCATGCAACGGGAAGCGCGAGAAGATGCCGAGCCGATCGGGATGGGTGGTGGAACCGGATCCTTCTTCTCCTGCAACTTGCTCGATCATCGCTCTACCTGCTACACGGCTCTCTCTGGCGACCTGTAGTGCGTGAGAATGCGTGGCACCCGTGCGCCAGCCAGCTTTCTCTTCGTCGACCTGCGCTGCGTACTACGTACTTGTGCGTCGCACGGTGTGGAAAGGGCCGGCGGCACTAGCCCAGATGCCGTTCCGATCTCTAGCTCACTTTCGTGCCCGCTTTGCGCTTTGGCACCGGAGACATAGGCCTCTTTTGGCACGGCTCATCCAAAACGATTTCACCGGTGAAGCCAAAATCGGTGAAGCCAGAAAAACTGGTTTTTCTCGAACTGACAGTTTATTTTAACTCCCATTATAAAACAGCGAACACGCTTCGGTCGCCGATTCTACGCAAAATAGATGAAGCGAAAAGGCGTAAGCCGTGCCAAAAGAAGCCCCTAGTCGGGAAAGAGAAAAGGAGCGGCGATGGAGGGTCCATGTATATGGTTTTGAATAATTGATTGACGACCGACGACGATTGCTGATCGATCTCGGTGCTGCTGCTAACCACAGTCGTACGCGTCCTCAATCCGTGAATCGACAGTCGTCCAACAAGGCAACAACTCTCAACGAACGTACGGTCAACACACTTGGACCATGTGGCGTCGTGTGTGTGTACGTATTTCCGTCGCCATCCATCAGACCTAGCTCCCAGCTCTCATCGATGGCTACAAAAAGACTGACTAGCGAGCTAGATACCTAGCTAGCTAGCTCTGCTCGATCGGTCGTTCGAGGATCGGAGTGAACTTTGCATACCACTTGCGTCACATACATCCTCGACTTGTCATGATCTCGACAGGTCGGACGATGTCCACACATTCTCCCCGAGTTGAATCACCTCTTCCGCTCATCGCGATCGGGAGGGCGGCCTTGCTTTGGCCGCGCGCGCTCGAGGGTGGCTACGGCGGAGCATAAGACAGGCATGGCTCGACAGGGCCCTGTTTTAGAATGTTCCAAGATTACAACAAAGCGGTCGTGGGTTTTTATTCTACATACCACGCTGTAGTTTCCCTCGTTTGGAGACCATTTGGGGGGGATCGCTATCTATCACTGACTGAATGCGAAATGAACATGAACTGAAAAGGAGTCACCGCGCGTGCGCCATTAGCTAGCTGCTCGCACTGCCTATAGCTAGCTCCAAGCTATTCGCAGCAAGAGGGAGAGTAGTGAGTGAATGAGTGATAACCCTGAGAAGCCTTATCTCAATGAAAATTGAAAATACACGAGCGT